GGAATCCAAGGACGAAGGCATCAGTGGTGAGTGTGATATGCAACAAGACCCTCTCCAATTTCATCCACTTGTATCATTTCAAGAGCTAAAATATTAATGATACTTAAGCATCCAATACATAATGCAAGCGTATAGGCACCCAGGGTTATCTTTCAACCCTTCAGGATCTTTGGCAGTTACCAGGACGAAGAACCGTCACACCAGCTGCAGTGCACTCTTCTAACTCAGAGGTAACACAAAAGTATGTCCCAACAGGTTCACATTGGGAGGTACACTGAGGGATTATTCTGGGATAGCCAGGCCATTTGCAAGGCAGCCTGTGAGCAATAAACTCTGGCACGCATACCAGCCTGGCTACACGTCCCAGCTGCGGACATACGATCACCTCTTCTACAAGGCATAAACTCACTGTCTTTGAACTGGGAAGTTATTTTTCACACTTGTTCAGAAGCACTCTCACGTTTGCAGAAGTGTGAGAGCTTGTTTGGAAGATTCTATTCGCTCCAAGACGAAGATGTAACCACACATGCTGAGGGGAGGGGTGGAGGGCATTAACCCAGGAATTTCCTTGAAAAGACACGCTATGGATCCCACTGTCTCCAGCTTTGCCTTCGGTTATGTCACCAGCTGGCTGCTTTCGAGCTTCCAGCCTCGCACGCTGCGCTGGTCCCCGGGGGTCTGCCCGTGCAGTATTTACCAGCACGCCTACGCTGACTGTTTTGACTACATTCCACCCGAGCAGGGATAGCACCACAGAAGCGTGCAGAGGACAGGCACCTTCCCCAGTGCTAACCATTTCATGCGAGTCTCACAACGAAAAGCGAAAAACGTTTGTGAAAATACTTTCAGCAACATGAAAAACATGCTTTTTTCTAACATCGCATCATGTATGCGTGCTTTTCTTGCACTTAAATACAAAGTCTTACACCTAGACCTAAGAGTTTTGAACGTTGCACTTTTAAAATAGATGAATATGCCATAAAACAGCAGCCTGCTTGCTATAACAGTGAATATTGATGCCACACAGGGATTTGCCCGGATCACTCTCTGAGGAATTTAATGTTTGCTTCAGTAGCAGAGCATTTACTCAAAACAGAGAGCAATCCAGTGATGGAGGTATTTCACCTGGCCTCTTGGGCTTGGTCGCAGCTCTCCAGCTGGGGAACTGTGGAGGACAAGGACCCTGGAGGCAGGTGTCTCCTTGCCCCAGCCATGCCGCTCCTGAACTCCCGGCCTCGGCAGCAAGGGCGCACGCTAGACTACTCCAGGACCTTCTGCACAACCCTCTGAAACAGCCAGTGCTGCTACAACCGACAGCAAGACCAGACCCAGCAAAGTCATTTCTCTACCAACAGGACTCTAAACAGTACCTAACAATTATTTTTAAGCATCTCTCTTATCACTGCATTTGCAAACTTGACTTTGAACTGTCTCTCCGAAATAAGTAAATATCACAGACTTTCCCTGTATTTAGCAACTTATATATGTATAGAAAAAAATTATTTCCCCAAGTCATCCTCTGAAGAAATTCCTACAGTACTGAACCTCTTGACAGGGAGACAATTTTTCATTTCTAAAAGCAGCAAAAGTGTTTGCTGCTTTGTGGTATTTTGGTAGACTGGAACAGGAATAAACTGCAAATGAGCATTTTGGAAACTGGTTTATATAGACGTTTCATATTTTCCTTGACCTTGGTAGCTTTGGGACTGTCATCAGTAATCCAGCAGCATTTAAGAACTCTCTACACCTGCAAAGTCGTAATCTGCTGACGCACAAGCAGAGATCACGTCTTTGGAAGCCAACAAATTTCTAATGAATGATGGCATGTAATTAACTCATGGACTCCAAGCTTGTCTCTGGACTGGATTAATCCTTCAGACAGTCTCTCACAATACCGCTAAGTAATGCTTTCAGTTAAGTGCAATTTCTCTTCTTCGGCATGTATTTGCATGCATACCTGCATTTTTTTTTAAGGCTACGGAGGTGCAAGGAGTGTATCTTCTTCTGCATCTATCTAAAACGCCTCCAATGCAAAACTCACATCATCCAGGTATATCCAAAACGTGTGCGTCACCAACCATACTTACCGTAGTGTATTTTCCCAGCTGGCAGAGTGAAGGGAAAGTTTCCTGGTGAGCTTTTCGGATCTTCTCAGTGAGATCATCCAACTCTGCTGTCATTTCGTAGTTTTCTGTGGACTCCTGCTTTGAAGGTTCCTTCTTCTTTTTGTTCCTGTCATTTCTGACAGCTATAGAAAAAGCAGAGACACAGATCACATGTGGTTATTCAGATCACCTCATGTTGCTCTTGCCACTCTACTTCAAAACACTGCAAAATGCTTTTATTTTAAACATAAATTATATTAAGTGGAGATTAAAATGTTATATGCACAGAGAATACTGACACAATCTTAATTACTCAACATTAAGAATTAAATTTAATGGGATAATGATGAAACCAAACTTCCGTAGGCGCTTGTTGTAGACGTGCCACCACACTCCCATAGTATCTACCTTCCAACAAATTTAATGCAACTTCACATGCACTCTAAGTGTCTCAGTAACTTTGCGGGGTGGAAATTTTTCACTGTATCGTTACAGCTGCACATGGTGAATGGTGAAGTCCTCTGCAGTGATGCAGTTGGTATTTTATTGGATGTGAACAACACTAAAGAAACACAGCAACTGTCCCTCTTTTTAAATTTCTCAGTATGGAAGATAACAAAACCTATACTAATACAAACTCCACCAAGCAAAAGTTATTTAAAGGGAAAGTTAAATTTGAAAACAGTAAATGAAAGAAGATGAAATACATTAAACTCAAGATCTGAAGATCAAAGGAGAAGCACAAACACTTGAAAGAGTAAAAATGGCAGTGAAGCTATCTAAAGTTGCTTGCCATCTGCTCCTGCACTCAGATCAGCCTTCTACCTTCCCCCGGCCATGGGGGATTACTGGAAATATGCATTGTGCAGCACTCGTGCTGTAATTGATTTCCCACATATTTGTGTTTTATAATAAAATATGACAGCTGCTCCATCACCATGCTACCCTTTGTTCTTTTAATGAAAATAGCTTAATTTTACAAAACGTGCCCAGGAGATAAGTCTATGTCCACAGTATTGCCAGTACTTGTGAATTTTATCAAGAGGCTTGTTTTTAGCTAAAGTGAACGTCTTAAGCGTAACCAGATGTGTAAGGCTTTACAACAAAGCCAAACAAAATCAATCCCTCTCCCCAAAGACTCCGCGTCAATATTAAACACCCCAAAGACTAAATGCTGCTGGACAAATAAAAGATAATCCTAACATTCACCCGTGTTCAAAACCTCATGATATTTAAAACAGGGCCCTTAAGGCTGAGGGTGCAGCTGGTGGGCTGGACACACGTGAGGACAGCCAGAGTTTTTGGATGCCAAAGATCTGCCGATTCTCATTCCTACTGTCCCACCCCAGAAAGCACATCTATCTGTGCTGCAGGGAGGGAAGCACAGCAAAATGGGCAGATGCCCAGAGAGACACCTCTTTTCCCCCAAGGGTTCCCCAGGCCTATCTCCATGGCACCATGTCTTCCGTGGTTGCTTCCTCCACGCTTGTCAACCACAAATGATCGCAAAAAGCAGACAAACACTGAAAGTTTCAGGAGAAAGAGGAGGTTTTGATACAGCCTAACCTACAGCATCTGTTCAAGATGTGTAATTTCTGAGAGAACATTAAGAGTGACATAGGAAAATGGTGGGGTGGGAAAGCAGCAGAGTCAGTGGTATCTACAGAAATAATGCAGTATGTGTAACAGAAAACAAGGGGTAGGCGGAGTGAATATTGCTGTTCCTTTACAAGGCCATCAGGCACATACTCCATGTGATGAACGGCTCTGGTTTTCTCACTAAAGGTTTGACTTTGCAACTAAGAGAACTCTGACCCTGATCCAGCAGGTATTTTAAGGATGAACTTGACTTTAACTGTGTGAACACACCGGCACTGAAGACAATTATGTGCTTTGCTGGATCAGGGCTGGGATGCTGAGTACCTCACCGACTTAAAGCCTAACCTCACACACCATCAGCGCTGGTGTCTGGAGTAACACAGACTCAAAGGAGGCTAGGAAGGGTGGACTAAAAAAGTACCTTCTTGTGAAGGTTCAATGCTATCAGTGTAGTCAGGTTTGGGGGAGGTGGGCTCGGGTTGGACCCCCCCCTTCCTTTTACAAATATTCCCCTAAAGCCGATGCCCCAATGCGTTCACTGGACCCCAGGGCAGAGCGCAAGTATGGTCTCTCACATTGAAAAAACATCCGGGACTGACATGTACGTCTCAAGTGCTCCAAACTGCCACCGCACTTCAGAAGTAAATCCTAATCGCCGCTGTACTTGGGAGATAAAAGAGCTCCTTAGAAAATTATGTAAACTCCTACACAACCGCAAAGAGCAATAAGCCTTTGTAATAAAGCCCCATTTACTTATAGCTCTATGAGCTGACTGACAAATTTGCCAAACAGGCAGCCCAAGCAACTACTTATCTCAATAGCTTTGAACTCCTCGTGGAAGACAAACACGTTATTTAGGCCAGGCTTCGGAGCTGCTGCCAAGAGCTCCCAGAGACCAGGAGATAACTCTGGCAGGAACTGTGCCACCATTCCCACACTACACCGGCACAGATCCCTCTGCAGCTGTACCTGAAGTCCGTTCCCTTCCAAAGGCCACCAGAGAAACAGCTGTTGGTCAATCCACATCACCAAATTGACCCACCTCTGTCCTCTTTCTTTTCAGGCACAAATCACTGAAGGGTAGGAAGGAGAGAATTAACATGTCCTGAAAACTAAGAACAGGTTTTGTTCACTGTTATCTTTTTTCTACAATTCTGATAGCCTTTGTAGTAACGGTAACACCTAAACAACATTTATCTTCTTGCTTTATGTACACCTTTTATATTTCCTACACTTGTCTTTGCTAAGGCCGCATCAGACACAGCAGTGTTTCTATATTCTCTGTAAGATAACACAATAAAGTCCTGACATAGAATCATAGAATGGTTTAGGTTGGAAAGGCCCTTGAAGATCATCGAGTTCCAACTCCCCCGCCATGGGCAGAGACACCTCCCACTAGACCAGGTTGCCCAAGCTCACGTCCAGCCTGGCCTTGAACACCTCCAGGGATGGGGCCTCAACAACCTCTCTGGACAAATATAACATATATAACAAATATAACACCCAGATTCAAAAAATATAAAGAATTTCAATAACGTTGAACTACTACGCAGATTCAACTACAACTATAATTCAACAAAAAAAAAAAAAGAGAGAGAGAAAAAGATTAAGACAACACTATGCTTGAAAGAGTTAAATAAAAACATATAAAGACACACATTTAGCTAGTAAATTTAAAAGCCATCACTGCTCTGGGAATAGGAACTGTCATACCGCATGTGGGAAGGGTTTTGGATTACAGCTTATGCTTATATTACATAAATCACACCTTTTTGTATCTTGATCTTTACATGCATATGATCACATCAATCCCCAATGCAATTCCACTGCCTTTTAATGATGATACGCCGGTGATGAATCCGTGTCACAGTTAATGCTGCCGTAGAAAACTCAGGTTATGAATTTCATTACTTGTGCACTAAATTCTGACTTGATGGCTGCATTATTTAAGAGCTTCCGACAGGGGACAGTATGGAAGCTCTCTTGCCCTGCGAGAAATACTGGAGGTTAAAAAACTAACAAAACAAACAGGGTGGTGGGGAAAGAGAATGAAAAAAGGTGTATCTTGGTACGTGAGGAAGCCACGTCTCGGTGCTGCTCGGATGGCTGAGCGACGCACGCCCACGCCTGAGCACGTCTGCTCCGATCCATCTTCCCATGACAGCTTCCCTGTCCCCTTGACAGACACGCCGGGACTTGCACTTCCACACCCAGAAACCTCCAGGCAGCTGCGGCAAGGCTCGCAAGCTGGTGAAGGCACTTTCTGTTGCCTTAGCTTTCAGGACCAGCCCCCACCCTCAAACCTGATGGTAGAGGGGCTCAACATCACCTCCTTCTCCCATCCAGCCTGTTTTCACCCCAGGGGTTGGCACTGCTTTCCATAGCCTCAGACACATTTTCCCTCTTCTGCTTGAAGCGATGGGTTGGGCACAAAAGCTGCAGGAGGGAAGGATGCGTTTTTCAAGAAAAGCAGGGCCTGCTGTAGATGAATCTAAGTATAGGAAAGACACAAACAGCTTCTCTCGGAGGACCCCGGCGCGCTCATTTAGCAACCACGCAGCAATTCTCCTGCTTGAGCGGGATCATTTCAAGCATGTCGTAATGCTGGGAATCGTCCAGTCTTAAACGCAAGCCCCTCAGGTCCACCAAACTTAGTCACCGCTTGGCCTGAGAAGAGTCTGGGATCCAGCCCAAGAGATTGAGGCAGCTCCTAGATAATCAGGTAAAATTATGGAATAGTGAGTGTCCGTTACTCCCCTTTGTCAAAGGTGGCACAAACCTGTCCAGCAGAGAAGCTCACAACACAGTATTTCCAATTACTTGCATAACCTTTGCTTCCCCAGATGCCCAGAAGGTAGTCAGACAGCACCTTTCATGTATTATAATGATTTATCAGCTATAAATTCATGACTTGAAATGGTATCATTGCAGTTTTGCCTCTTGGAGATCCCCGTGACCTTTGAAGAGCTCGGCGTACTAGTTAACTGGTTTTGTTCCTGCAGCGACAACTACTAGTGTTTCCAGTTAGTTTGCATTC